ATTTTGAAGGGGACTCACGTAATGGCCTTAGATTAAAATTAACAAATACCTTATCTAAATAAATCATTTCATTTAAATACTGAAAAATTTATTTCAGATTCAGGCAGTGCTCAACCACTGCCGAATCGGGATCAAGATCCGTAACGAATTCTTATCATATGATGGCCTGACACCCGCGGATAAGGTTATTACTGGTGTAGTTATGCCCCAGTTTGAAGATGATCTGCTCTATTTTGCTGCCAGGGTCCTTGCGAACGGCATAATAATAGATTATGGAAAAACACTTACCATATTTACACTACACTATATCTGCAAAGTTATGCCTAATGAAACTCCTCGGTTGCCCGTCTCAAGTCCAGATGAGAAAGAACGGTTAGGGAACGTGAAGAGATCAGCCTAAAACTTTGCTGTTTAGCCAGCCCTCTTGTCATTGCCCCGCCATCGAACACTATATCGGCCCGAATGTCACCGGATTACCAAGGGCCTGCAGACTGTGAAAAGTCGACGATCATAACCCGGCTCGCGTCTTCTTGCAGGCTGGAAGGAAGACTGATATGACGAAGATACCAGTTGGCAACGGATCCCTACCAGGTCTGAAAGGACCGTTCTGGCAATGAAACGGAAAGATTGTCCGCAACCGAAAGTGCCATGTTCTTGGAGAAAACCTTATAGAACAGTCGTTTGAATCTGCTGGGCTAGGTGAAATTTAGATATACGCAGTTATAAAGTTCAAGAAAGTTCGCACCTTCAAACAGACTTGCGAATAAACGCTCGCCATCGAACTTTCAAAGAAAAATATTAAATCTCCTGTCCGTACAATCTTTCTTAAAAACATTACTCGTAATAATTAATGTTTTCCAGCTCCTAGTTAAGCACCTTAACGGTAATTTCGGTCGAAACTTGGAACCACCCAGCTGAACTCAAAGACATGAAACTCAACTACGGGGGATACTTTATTACCAATAACAAAAATGCTAGGAAAGTCTAACTGTTCAAAATTTTGAAAAAAAGTCTTTACTTCCCAATGAAAACAGGCTTCTGCCTCTGTTTTAGGTTAGAAGAAACTTGTAGGCATTTAAAGCATCGAGAAAACATGCATAACATATCTGTGGCGTAAACCCTTTAAAGAGACAAATGTGACAAACGACGATGAACCAAACAAACAATATCAAAAACAAAGATACACACATACCGATTTTCCCTTCACCCACTCGGTGGCCAAACTGCTGCTTGCAATGGCAGATCCACAGCCGAATGTCTTGAACTTTGCGTCGATAATCTTACCGTTCTCGTCGACCTTGATCTGAAGCTTCATCACATCACCACAAGCAGGGGCTCCGACGATTCCAGTGCCGACATCCGGATCGTCTTTATCTAAAGACCCCACATTCCTCGGGTGTTCGTAATGGTCAATTACATAAAACAAAACGTTTAGATAAGAAACTTTTTCGATCAGAACACTTACATTCTTGTGATAGTAACATGCCGCTGACAGCAGTGGAGCCGAAAAAGATTTTTGCAACAATTGCACAGTTTTCAGAGACATCATTTCGCTTTAACCACAATCACATGTTTCACAAAACAACACAACTCGCTTACGCACAGAAGTGTTGACTAGCCTTGATGCGTTGCACTGGTTTTCAGGTACACACTTTAAACACTTTTTACTGTACTATAAGAATCACTTAATATACTGAATTAAGTTAGTCTACTGTTTGTCCGTATTAAAATATTCTACTGATTGAACAAAAATGCAAAACGTCCTGCATTTGATGAAAAAACTATAACCCTATAGGTATGTTCAGTAAAAATCAATGACTGCTATGATATCGCGATAACTGAAAGTATAGTACCGGCTATAAGGTGAACTACCGTTGTGGCAGATATTGTGACAGAAGAGAAAAATTTTTATCATATTGTGGTTTGATTATCGAGTAATACGGGCATTGAAAATACACTTGTAAGAAAACATTAAATGCATTCTGTTTGTTATTAATTCCGTA